GAGATTCCTGTGCTGAGGCTCAAAGTGAAAGTGGTGTTTGATGTGACTCAGATACTAGAAACAAGGGGGGAGGTTTGATCAGTGATACAAAGAAACAAAGACTAAACTGACAATAATACATCCATCGGTCGAGAACTGCCGCTGAAAAAAACAGGAGATTTGAAAGTACATCAGTGTCATGAATTTACATGATTTCTTTTATTTACATGCTCACGACACATCTCTTTATGGGATTTACCTGCACCGTGTCGTCTCAGCATAATGAACACAACAAAGCAAAAAAGATGAATGACGTCGCCTAAGGGAGATACAGGTCTGTATTGATGAACTCAAAAAATTGACAGATAGCAAACATAAACACGTCTTTAACACAAGGTCAAAAAAGCCCCATCAAACATTGAATCCAAACTGAGTCTTTCCTGGAAGAAACAACCATAAATATTTGTCTCGTTTCTGGTCACTTTTTATATTGAGTAGGATTTTTATTGGATTTGGGGAAGTTCACACTCTAGCGCCTGCAGCTAACATTATTTCTGATAATGCTACTTTACCTTACTTTAACAGTGAAAACACACAGAAAATATGTAATATGTAAGCTAAGCAGCAGAGCAGTGAAAGTTAGAACAACACAACAGTGTGATCTTACATTATACCTTCAACTTTTTCGAGGACAAACTAGTTCTATCCTGCAGCACAAGAACAACTTCTATGTGGATTGTTAGTTTATGTTGTTATGATTCTTACAGTTAACTTGTTTGCATCTTTTGGCCTTGTGTATATTTTGGATTTGCACCTCATTGATGTTTACCGGCCATGACAGCGACGCTGGTTTTGTTTTCACCTTGTGAGTCTGTGTGTGAGTCATCATAGCAGAATGTGTCCTGAAGACACTGGAACTACTACAGAAGAGGTTTTGAGTACATTGTCAGGTGTTTATATTTCTGTCTGTCCGTGGACAGATTTTCTCAACACCATAGCATCACAGAAGTGTAAGAGGCAGTTCCGAAACACACACACACACACACACTTTGCACATCTGTTACGATTTGTGTGTGTACTTCCTTCCTTCCGTTCTCGTAGCGACACATTAACACCCATCATCGAACTCGGCCTTCATTTTGATCTCAGCTACACACCTGTAAAACTATGTGACTGCATCTTGCACGGTTGATTGCGTTCCAGCACAACAAGTTAGAAAACGTAATGAGGTTTTTGCTCCAGCCAGGTTTGCCAATTTTAGCAACACTAATTATCTTGTTCATACAAACACCGTAGCAACATGTTCACAGATAGAAGTTGGACGGTATTGTATGTATGAATGATTTAATGAGACACAAGAAAAACAGAAGTGCTAACAAACAGCATATTACTACAACTTTGTCTTTTACTGTTTATGCGCGTAGCAGCCATCTTGGATTTTGAGTTCGGGCTTAGTTGGGTTTGTCTGACTTCTGGTGTAGAATTTGCGACTGGGAACTCAGAAATTCTAACTTCCAAATTCAAATGTAACGCATTAAACTCTCGGCAAAATACTCCAACCACCTGCTTTGGTAGTTCCTGCTCCAGTAGGTGTCTCCAGGACTCACAAGGGGAAAACAATACCATCCAAACGCTGTCGCAGCTGGTAAAAGCTGCTTTGGTCCACCACCGTCTCTAATCGAGGACCCACTGTTGTAAAATAATTGCTCATTATTTATTTTGAGTGTGAAATTGGCAGCCATTATTGCAAACAGCACACGTGCTGGACTGTAAAGTTTGACAGGGTAGCAACAGTAACTAAGGAGGGCGGGGCTTAGCAAACAGTCAGTTAACAAAGATGGATGGAAGAAGTGTCAGACATAATCTTAAATAATTTATGCCAAAAGATTGATTCATAAAATGCCTCTTCAACACGTCTCAACATATCTTAAAAAGTCCCTGTTCATACCCGTCCATCCTGCAGCCCCTCGTTAACCAAACCTGACAGCACAGATCACAAATGTAACTCACCTCACAGACAGTAACTTACAATTTAGAGAGAGGAGACACACACAATAAAAGCTTGAAAATGAGGTGACAAACCTCTTTCTTGGGCTCACGGTTGAGGAGAAGGATGATGTGAAGCGACAGGCAAGAAAGCAAGCGGGCGGCTCCGGTAATGACACACACAGATTTTCACCCTGCAGGACACTTCACACTTCTATGATGACATGATGTAAAAACAGGGCAGAGAGACAAAAGACAGGGTAGGGGTCGAGAGAAAGAGGAAGGGAGAAGGAAACCCTGAGACTAATGCCGTGAATAAAGGACAGACATGAAATAGTGGTGATTAGGAAGGAGTAAGTAGAATGAGATGATGATTAGCTGTAATCTAAGAAGGAGAGAATGAAGTAAGAAGTGCCCTCACGATCCCTCTGAATGGCAGGTTTGGTCTCACGACTGATTACACCTCTCTGAGCCCACGATTAGAATGATAACAAGACAAAGAGGGAGTTTAGGAGGTTGAAGGAGAAAGGGATACTGTGAGGAAAGAAAAAAAAAAAGTACGATCCAGAGCAGCAATGATGGAAAAGATAGTTGGTATCTGAAGTCGAGCTGAGGAGAGGCAGTTCACCCAAATAAAAAAAAAAGAATTCAAATGACCCAGTTGCTTCCAGTGGTATCTGACCATTGTTTTGGTTTGATTTGTCCAAGTTTTGAAATATTTCTCTCAGATTTCTGCTGGGCAGGTTGAAAGCATTGGAAAATCACATTTCAATAATTCATCATTAACGTGTCTTTCCAAAAGCAATGTCCCGGTTGCCCTGGATAATACACACAACGGAGCGGTTTTCATCGGAACTACTTTCGACAGAAGCAGCCAACATTTTAGAAATAGTGAGGTCACCCACCAAACCTCCCTCAGATAATAATGATAAGAAACCACAGAGAGAGTCTCAACTTCAGTGAAATTACTTGGATTTTTCATATTTTGTTTATTCAATGAACTGTTCAATTATATATAAAAGTCTACATGTGGTATTAAAGTCTGTTATCCTCACTGCCAAGAATGCAGTATTGTTGGAGAAATGCTAAATGCCTAAAGTAGTCTAATGTAAACATATTCAATCTAAGAATTCTAGAAAAAGCTTATAAAATGTGTTTGTTTTTAATTGTTGAATGTAAACCCTCCCTTCCCAAAGTCATATAAATTAATAAATTAATAAATAAGATAAGCAGGAAATTGCCTTAGTGGCCTCAATTGTGGCCTCAAAATAGTCCTTATGTTAACCTTTAACATCATGTTCTGTTGATTATCCACAGTAACCAGGACATTCCACTGTACAGAAGAGTGGAGACAGAAACTCTGAAATATCTCAAAATAAACCAAAACTACAATAAAAGGTGAACCGGCCCTTTAAAGGTATATCTAAGATATCTCATTTAGTTTTGAGGAAAGGCTCAGTAATTTCCCAAAACCTCTGGGCACTGTAGTTTTTAGTCCAACAGGAGTAAATAGCACATTTGCTGGGGACTATTTTCACCTGCGGATTAATACACACGGGGCTCACAGCAATATTATGGTGTATGTTGGTTGACTTAAAATCAGCCACAGTGGCCATGTTCATCACGACGAAGGTTGTCACCCAGTTCAACAGTGTGGCTCGTTGACGTATTTTTCATAGTCTGTGGCACAGAGAAATAAGTTACATCAGGCTGCACAACACTTGTTAGTTGGTGTTGGTCTGTTGGGGGACTTGTTGGCAATAATACAAATTTAAAGAATACCACCATCTTCATCCTGTAAAGACAGGAAGAGTTGTCTGATAGTGAGTTGTAGATAAAGACTGTATCCACAGATGGAATAATAATGTCAGGGTAAATTACACGTAGCACTCTTCTTGACAATTGATGGAAGTGTGAGGTGAGAGGTGAACATTGCATTAGCTGTCGTTCACCTAACTCGAGCGCACCTAACTCGAGGAGCGCTCAGCCTCCGGTATGACTAACATGTATGAGCGATTACACACGTGGATAGATACGCGTAGTTCCCGCCTGTTCTTATGAACGCACAGGAACGTGAAGCGGAGTGTAACAGTGCACCTAAGTGTTGTTCTGGGGGCCACATGTAAACAATCACTGAAGGGTGAATGTTTGAACTTTGGCTTTTAATTTTAAATTAAAGTTCCAGACAAGTGAAGTGAGATAATTGATCAGAACGCATTTACTGTGGTCCGCGCTGGTAATGCTGTGACGTGCCGAAGTTCCTTGATTTTTACGCTGTGCGTGCGTTAAATAATTAGCTGATAGCCTAGCTTAGCATTAAGACTGGAGGCAGGGGGGGAACAAAAGTTAAAAAGTTTTAAAAAATGACGCCTACCATTACATCTAAATCTCTAAAACATGTTGTTTCTTGTTTGTTTGACCTGTACATGAACAGAACTCTAACCTTGACAATTTGTGATGTCACAACCCAATACCAATATCAGGGCCTGCTTACTGACCTGATCCATCAGACAGAGCTGTAGTCTGAAAAGTTGCACAGAAGTGCTTGGCAGATGCACACATTTAAATTTGTTTAAAACGGCTTTATAGGTGTTATCAGGTGTATTTCTTCGAGTCGCACTGCAGCTGGAAAATCCATCCTGTCAGATTCAAGTAACGCGTTTGTGTCCGGACCAATCAGCGTCCTGTGAGGAGCTACTCGCGGCTACTCACTGTAGGTTAGCGCAGGTGCTGCAATAGCATAGTGTAGAGTATATCTTCATTGCAGGTTTATTATGATAAGATGAAACATCATTAATACAATGGATGAAATGAATGAAAAATATGTTGTATTATTGTTGGATATTCTGGAGTGCAGCTACAGAGCACACACTGATGAATAAAGCACAGCTCTAAACAGAACTCTATTTGTCCCTGAGGCTTGCAGTAGCTTGACACGCTCCACTATCATCGGTGCCCTACCTTCCTGTTCGCTCTCGTGCTCTGCATGACTCATGACCTTGTTTGCTGATTGGCTCCTTGCCTCTGGTTTCCAGGACGACCACTCCATGTTTTTCCAGTTTGGTCCGTCCATCGAGCAGCAGGCCTCCGTCATGTTGAACATCATGGAGGAGTATGACTGGTACATCTTCTCCATAGTCACCTCGTACTACCCTGGCTACCAGGACTTTGTCAACAAGGTAAAGCAACACATTACAGACATACATGTAGTATACAGTATACAGTATACTTCTGGGGACATAGCAGTAGGTGTGTATGCACATTACACATTATATACCACTAATCAATAAGTTGAGACCGAAAATTACAAAGAATATTATCTGCTAAGATAAAAGTATTCCTTCGCTCAGAGATGATTCCACAAGCAGAAGGATACTTTAACAGCTAATAGCCGAAAACATTTTCAACTACGGATTCAAATGAGAGATTCACTGTCACTCTGGGTCCCAGGCACGTTAGGTGTTATTACTTTTGTCTTTTAGGGACCCATTATAAGAGGCCAGACAAATACTGTATTTTTCATACTGTTTTCTTAACATTTGAACAGATGTGTGTCCTATCTATTTAAAAAAAAAAAGTGTTTGTGTTTATTTTGCTAGGACTATGTACAATTGATGAAATTAAACTATTGATGAAACCATTTCCGAGGACACAATTGTCTGGTTCTGAGACATAATTTCATGCCTTCAAAAATGATAAGGTTTGGCATGAGTTTGATGTAAGTGTAATGGAAGAGTTCCATTTTCTGATTGCTTTAATGGAAAAAAAAGGCAGATTGGCCAGCATGTCTTTTTAAATGCAGCCACTCAGTGAGCCCTCAGCCTCCTTATCTCCAGGGCTTAGAACAGACTCTTTAAAGGGGCTGGTATGAGATCCTGAATAACTTTGAACATCAGACACTCATCTGAGAAGAATGAAAAGTTCTTGAAAGTCAGCTAATCATATTTCTTTGTAAAATTGCAGCAGTGGCAGGGTCTTTCCTGTGAACAAAGTTAGAGTAACGATCCGGTTTAAAAGAAGAAGAAAAATCACGTATTAATTATACAGAGGTTCAAAACAGAGGTTTTGAATGAGGATATTTTGTCCATTAGCTTTATGTTGAATGCATAATGTATAGAGTCTTATATCAACTGCTATAGTTTGCTGTCCATAATGTATATCGGCTAAATATTTTGAAAACAAACATGTCAAAGCTCCAACGAGAAAAGCTTAAACCAGTTATTACCAGCACCATGAATCTCATTCTATCCTCCCTCAAGCAAAGCTCAAGCACACATGCACAGAAGAACATGCAGAGGAAAATGGTGATGTAATGGAATATACTGCACACAAAACGCTTTGTTCTGCCTGTTACTCAACATGAATAGATTCCCTAAAGGAAAACACAAATCTATCTGTCATCTAAATGCCACATTAAGCAAAAGGATCCGCAATCCTAAAAATCACTTCTGCTGCACATCCTGTATTAACCCTGTGGCCATAGAAAAATAAAATAGTCTCCATCTCAATGAGAGTTTCCTCTGTGGGGATAACGCCTTAAGATTTGGGAAAAGAGATTACCCAATCTCGCTCTTGTTACATTATTATTTATTTATTTAATGTCTCCCACTCCCAAGAGACGTGTAAAGACAGAATAGTTTAGCAATCTGGAAGATGGAGGAGGAGACATCTCAGTCGATTTCGTTCCAGCATCTCCTCTTAACAACTCCTCTGTTATGTGTGCAGCCTACACTTAAATAAATAAAAAAAATCCCACCTCCCTCGCCTGTCCAGGTCCGAAGTACCATCGACAACAGCTTCGTGGGCTGGGAGCTGCAAGAAGTCTTCCTGCTGGACATGTCCGTGGACGACGGAGACTCCAAGATCCAGAACCAGCTGAAGAAACTGCAGAGTCCTGTCATCCTGCTCTACTGCACGAAGGAGGAGGCCAGCACCATCTTCGAGGTGGCCCATTCTGTGGGCCTTACGGGTTACGGCTTCACCTGGATCGTGCCGTCGCTGGTGGCCGGAGATGCAGACCACGTTCCCGCTGTCTTCCCTACAGGTACACCCGAACACCAGGGGCTGGTCTCACAAAGTCACAGTTGTTGACTTTTGGCTTAACTGATTGTCAGACTTCAGATTGACGTTTAAACTCATCCGTTGCACAAAGCAGTCTAGGTCTTGTCTATTTAACCAGAGGGGCCAGGTTTGAACTCATTTAAGTCTCCTTAGTGTTTTAGAGCAAAAACACTGAAATCTGTATTACATTATTATGTGATCAGTTTTCAAAAAGCTTTGTATTGAAATGTGAGCACAAGTGGCAGATGGGCTTGTTTGCATATATGCAAATGTTCCCCTTGTCTGTTTGTCCTACATTGTGCCAGTCAGTGGTGGGGCGCATACTGATTCCTGTTAACCTCAGGTAAGTGAGTCTACAATCTTTGGGAGTTCATTTGGTCGTATCTGTTCTTTTTTTACATCGACTTACCGTGCAATATCTCACACAGATATGAGATAAATACAGACTGACAAACTTGACTTTTTCTATTGATTATTTTTATCGGTCATCATCTCATTAAGAGAATTCCCAGTGATGTTGTTCTGAAAAATATCTCTGCAGGAAAGACACCCTTTTGTCATTTTACACTGGCTCTCCCTTTGCATCCTTCCCCCTCACCAAACATGTTCGAAGCATTTTATTTGAAAGCGTTCACTCCCGTAGTTCCACATTTTCAACATGAGTGTAGAACCAGCAACAACACAGAGGCTGCCTGAAAATGCAGATTTGTCTTTTTTTCCAGCAGATTTACGGTGCAGGTTTCAAATGTGAACACAAAATTCAAACCAGCCACGACAAAAAAAAAAAAAAAAACGATCCACAGTTGTTCATGGGTGTGAGAAATGGATGCTGACGTTTGATCGCCAGCAGTTCCTCATGCTTGGAAAGCCAAGCATAACAAAATGAGATGAAGAGGGATCACCGTGGTCACGACTGACGCTCATATTCAACTAGTTTTTTCCACCTGACTTCAACCACGTGTGAGCATTTGGTTTTTTTAGAAACAGCAAAGTTAACAGCTCTACTCTGGCTTGGACCAAATTGACATATCGTACGTATGATTGCACTCTAGATTTGGTCTCTGAGTTTTGACTCTTCAGCCTCTTCTAAAATGCTTTCATTTTACGTTGCACACTCTTTCTTCCTCCCTCCGTCTCACACTTGTCTGCCTCCCTCGCCCTCCTTTTCATCCTTCTCCATATTTCCTTCTACACTTTCCACGCATCCCTTCCTCTCACCTCACATCCGTCCCTCGCTCTCTTTCCCAGGGCTTATCTCAGTGTCGTATGACGAATGGGACTACAACATCGAGGCCAGGGTGCGTGATGCGGTGGCTGTCATTGCCACGGCGACCTCCACCATGATGCTGGACCGGGGGCCACACACACTGCTGAAGTCCAGCTGCCTCGGGACACTTGACAAGAAAAGCTCCAACACCGGCCACTCCAGGGAAATACTGAAGTGAGTGAATGGGGGGGGGGGGGGGGGGGGGGGGGG